AGTCTTAAATTGCTCCTTTTGATTTATAGAATTTAAAGTATTTTTTATTTATTAGTTTTTTTTAATTTTTTACTCGAAAATTTTCTAGAAATAAAAGTCAATTAAGTTTCATAATGACTTTTATAGGGTATTTATGATTCCAAATTTTGCAACAAATATTTGATTACTTCTTATTTTAATAACTTTTTGTTAAGAAAAAAAATAGCAATTTATAAAGATATTTAAATTAAATTGCTGAAGAAAGTTCACAATCAAATTATTTTTTCTGCTCTATCAAAATTTAGTTTAGATCATAAGAAAAAATAATTATCTCTTAGAATAAGTGAAAAAACTGATAATAGTAGTTAATGGTTTGGAAAAGCGGCGAATATTTATAATGATAAGTTACAAATTATCTCAAATACTTAGTATGATATTGTTGTATCAGTGTGCCTATGAGAAAGAATCAGAAAAAAACAGTTTTTTGATTTAAACCTGAAAAATAATTGATATTTTGAAATTTCAAAAATGAATGAGAAACAATAGGTGTTTATCGTATGATAATCACAAGGTTTGAATTTGAAGATAAAATCTTAAAGTAAATTTAATTAAAAAATTGAATAATGATGTAAAAGAATGTATTTATTAAAAGAAATGTATTTTCCTTAAAACTATTTCCATCATCACATTCCTCTTTATGTATCCACTACAACTAATTTATCTCCTCATATTTTTTGCAATAGTAATTCTCTGAAACACACCCAGGTAATTCTCAGTTTAAAAAAGTGTATGTAGCATATTTACAAGAAGAACATCAAATTCTACAAAAATATTTACAATTTTGGCATCCATTTGTATCAACTTGATTCCCACCATCATATTATTCTTATCCGACTAAAAGATAATCTCCGAAAGTAGATTAGCATGTTGAACAAACTATTTTAGATGTGCAAGTTAAACAAGATAATGGACAATCCAAACAATCATAAGAATCATTATCATAATAGTAATTAATTAAACTCTCTTCTTGTGAAAATTTAACACCATTTTCATTAAAAAGAATTAAAATTAAATATCCAATCTCATTTGACTATCATACTATTATTCAAGGTTTCTTAAAATGATTTTTTCATTAAAAGAATTAAATTACCTTCTCTATAGACAATTAAACACATAATAAATAATTTTTGGAATTTTTAATAAAGAATATATTGACTACTAATATACTAATTTTTAATTTTAATTTAAATTCTTCTTTATAGATTATTAATAGTTATTATTAGTTGACTTTTAATTTATATATAATCATCGTTTACCCAATTAAGTGTNCGTGCCTACTGATAAGTTTAATTTATCTAGAACTTAACATATCAATTTTATTAATAGAATCCTGTAAATCCTCTATTTTTTATGTAAATTGAATTGGATTTATTAATATCTATCTCACATCTAAATATTTATTAATTAATTTAGATTATTAATAAAAAAATGTTCTCATAGTCGAAGAAGTAATAAGGTTTTTGATAAAAATATCCTTCAATTTCGAATCCCTCAATAATACATCCTTACTATCACCTTTTTTCTGATGGTTTATAAAAAATCTTATCAAAAAAAGTTTATATAAAATCGTCTAGATAGGTTAGAGTAAAAAATTCAATAAAGCCTTGATAATTGTAAACAACCCACCTAACTTAGCAACAACATCCATTAAAGTTTAATAAGTGATAAAGCATACTTTTTTCTTAGCATCCAGATGTACTTCAATTCTAGCTAATGTAGTGGAATCTTAAAAATAAAGCACGCTATCAATAACTGTCTTTTAGTATTCAACCCCCTCATGATACACTTATCTAGGAAAAAAATAGAAGGGATTGTATTCAAGGTAACTTTAAGAGTATTGAAAATAAATTTTGATGTATTTCCCAACTTTGTGATAAAGTGATGTCAGATCAATATTTTCAGTTTTTTAATATGGTGAATCATCCGATTCCTTATTAAATTGATGAAAAGAATAAGAATAATAAAGGTTGGAATTTGCTGTATATTTATCAATTTCTTCATTTGATGCACAATCTAAAACTATGTATATATCTTACTCTACATTTCAGTGGTATTTGAGCATCTTTCAATTAATGCTCCCAATAAAGTAAAATTATCATAACGATTTGATCCTTAAATTCTTATTTATGGATTCTCTTTGATGTACTCATCACTCATACAATAAGTAATGTTTTCATAAGCTTATGGTATATTTAATTACTAAGTTGATATTATTTATTACTTTTGAAGTTGCACGAATTCTATCGCCACAAATTATTCCTGGTATAATAATGCATTGTGTTTCATTCAATGATTTATTGCAAACATAAAATCCAATCTTAAAAATTCTGTTGCCCTCATTTGGAATGGGTTGACCCAGAATATCTAGCAATCCTGCTGAAAATATCAGTTCAGTAGAATTAAAGCTGAAACCCTAAATCATATAAATGACAAGAAATTACTTCATTATTTTGAATGACAGCATCTTAAGAGTTAAAGTTTGCATTTTTTCCTTTTTACATTTCAAGAATAAATAAACTACCTGAATAAATAAGGATGCTAAATAATGATAGAGTCATAAATGCTCCAATGTGGGTTTGATAAAGAGATTAGCCTGATGCTTTTAGTCTAATTTATTATCCAAATATGTCCAATTTTTTGAAGTTTTTATTAATCTACATCATCATTCTATAGGAAAAATTTGATTTATTATTTAATAATTTGCTTAATATTTTGCCGCTTTTAATATTAAATTTACGAATATTATAGTTTCACATAAATTGGCTGAATTTAAATATTTATATGCGCAGTCAGTTTTAACATTATAGCACTTAAATTTTATTTTTCTGAATTGAATAAACTTGTAGTTTATTATTCATAGATAATAGAATGGACATTGAATTAACAAAATATAAATTGAATAAAATTAGAAATATTTTAACCACATTTAATTTTTTTTTATAAATATTTGTAATTAAAATCGAGAATTTTACATCCACATTAGTTTTATTCTTTCATTTATTATTGTTTCCTTTTAGCAGAAAATTGAAACAAAAATTTTTGGAAAAATATAAAATTTCTAACAAATTAATTCTTTCTATTTTTAATATAATTAGATAAATATTTATATACAATATAGAAACAATTATATTTAAAGGAAGATATAATTAAAGTAATTTAAAATGACTCATCAATTATATCCATAAAAGCTGGTTTATGTGAAATAGTTTCTTAAGTGCTCTTGGTATATATTTTAGTTATTTTTTATTTAAATTTTATCAAATGATAATTTATACTAAAATATAAATGAAGAATAAAGTAACTTCCAAATTTAAATCATTAAATCTATATAGATTACTTTATCTGGTTATAAATTGATTTAATCCTTTATAATTTTAAAATATAAATGAAATTACATAAACGATTAAAATAATTACTATGTATTTAAGAACTCTTTAGCAAGGATAAAGACATTACTCTTAACATTATAATTTATAATTGTATTACTATTCTTCTAATTTTAAGTTTTCATAATCACATTTTTTGTCATGTGCTACAATCACGTCTCCTAGGATACTTAAAAATTTAAAGGGGATATTATCTAATCCTTATCCAATTAATATTTTTGAAAAAATCATAAAGAATTTATTTGTATCCTCACCTCTATAATATCATCATTTAGAACAATATTAAAACTCTTTAGGATAATCAAGTTATCCATCTAAACAACAATCTATGACTTAAAAATTTCTCATCACTGCTTGTTTCCTTTGCATAATATATTTATTATTCAAAGTTTTTTACGATTCTCCATCTAAAATGTAATATCTTTGTAAACATCAGATAATTGAGTATTAAATGAAGAGTTAAAAATTACATAGTACCTTTAAATATTGTCATTACAAAAAGACATTTTTAAAATGGCGATCAGTAAAATGAAATCAAATTTAAAATGCACAAATTTTCCAGAATTTTATTGGGTTATAGCAAGGAAAGAGAACTGTTATTATAAATATCTCATTTATATGTAATTAAAATAAGATATTATAATTATTAAGACATACTTTAAATAATACAGGCCAAATATAACTTTTTAAAGAATATGTAGCATTCAATTTATAATTACAATTTTTTAAGGTAAAAACTATATCACATGCAGTCTTAAAAGCAAATTTACAATTATGAAATCTATTATATTTTTATAATTACTGCCATCAAAGCCTTCTTTATCTAAAAAATTAAATCTCCATCTTGTTGCATGTGTATTATCATCATATAAATTTAATTTAATTCTATTATCATTTATACAAATGTTACCTTAATGAAAATATTGAAAACTCCCTTAAACTTTCTTTATTTAAACTTATGAAATTTCAGAAAATTATTAGAAAAGATAATATTTTTTTTCCTTCTGAAAGACTATAAAAACTATTAAATATTATTTTAAAAAGCTGAGTGTTAAGTGTTGTTAAAATATAATATAAAAATAATTCTTAATAGCGTTATTTGTATTTGAATTGCCAATAATATTAATGAATATTAAAAATAAGCGATACTTACACATGATTTACAATAATTTTAATATGTACTTAAAGCTCTTACATTTATATGACTTTAACTGTAATCTCCTACTTTTTTTAAATTAATCTTATTCAAATTTTTCTTATCTAAAGTAATAGTCAGAATAAATGCCTCGATAATCTATCGTTTTCAATTATTCTAAGAAGTTTTCAACTTTTGTAAAATTATAATCTACCAAATCTCTAAAAATGATAAATTTAAGAAAATTTATATATTCCTAAAAATTTAATTATCTTAAAAAATATTGAAAATAAAATACTTATTCATTATAATTTTATTATCTTTTTTTTTGATTAACAACAATAGATATCGAGAATATTGGTTTAATAAAACTTTGTAGATTTTGAATATTAGTTTTGATTAAAGAAGTCACTTCTTAACATATTTATTTTCGGAGATTGTCATCTTGAAATTTAAGTACTAATCGAATTAAACTCATTACTAAGAAGTTCATCAAGTTTGGCATCAATCTTCATAATTGAGTTCTATTTACATTTATAATATAATACATTACCTCTACTGCTTATTACACAATTTATATGCATTCATTTATTTTTCTTTGGTACTCTTTTCTTATCATTGATTCTAAGACTATTTACATTATTATTTTATAAGATATTTTATTTAATTATTGCTATTTTTATCATAAAATGCTTTTAAGAAACTTATTTGTTAGATTTTCAAATAAAATTTAATTGAAAATTTATTAACAGAATTTAGAGATAAATTAATTTTTTTTGAGAAAATCAAAAATGGTTAATTTAATAATTGGAAGGATTTTCTGAAATAACAAATGCAACGAATAACTAGAAAAATTAGTAATAGGCAGGAGACTAAAATTTGATAAAAATGATGAAAATAGTTATAAGAAATAGAAAACAATTAAGAAGCACTCAATAATCATAATTTAATTTATATCCAAATACCTAAACATGACCACACACTAATTGATTAATTTTGCTTATTAGGAGATTAGCAGGAAATAAATAGAATTTAAGGAATATAAAAGATTCCTAAAAAAATTTGAATCTCTCAATTTTAAATAATTTTAGTTTGAATGGGCAATCAAATTATATATTGAATTGTAATAAATTCAGTTTAATTAAATTTAAATTATCATGAATCACTTCTAATAAAATTAAGAGAAATTTTATTAAAAATTAAATATATATTATATATATTTTTGAAAATTATTTGTCTATTATTTAAATAAAGACTTTAAAGTTAATGCAAGAGTACTTTTAAATAAACAAATATATTCAAAAAAATTATAATTGATATATATCACATTCTATTATTTCTTGATCCAAATAAATATTAATTATTCTCATTATCCTCATTATCCTCATCATTCTCATCATCCAATAAATCCTGTTTTTAATTGAATCAGTCAAATTAATATGATGTACCTAATCTAGAATAGCCAAATTAACAATTGCTATCTATTTCAATATCGCCATAACCGAACGTAGGTCCTAATTGTGAATTACAATATATAGCGTATTTTTTTCATTCTACTTTAAAGGATAAACTTGATCATGATTTTATGAAAATATAAAAGATGACAATGGATTATCTTCTACGAACTTCCCATTACAAGATTTCCATTTACGAGGAGAATATGCTTCAAAAATTTAATCACTTTTTGATTGAAATATCATAAGTAAATTGTTTTTTCCATTCACTTTCTTCCAAAATTATTAACTTTCTAATCCATTTTTGTACATTTATAGATTAAAACTGAATTTTTTATTTTTTTAATAATTTAAAATTCTAAAATTGTGAATAGTTTTTCCCAGTAATAATCTTAAAGTAAATTAAGCTTTATAGTGTATCAAAAATATAATTCAAATGATACTTTAAATATTTTTATATCAAATATGCATAAATATGTATTTTAAAACATTATCCATTAAAATACAAAATTATAGAATTATTTGTTAAAGTTATCGTGCCTTATGTATTTTAACTGTTAGGAAACTCCTAAAAATAAAAAGTAACTTTAATTAATTCATTTAAATTAAATTTTTATGATATAGCATTTATGGCAAACACATGTATTCCAAAAATAGTTTAGTCAACAATTAGTTTAACTCGGCAAATAACAGGCTCATTCAAAGAATTAATTCCTCATAATAGAAATTAAGCTTATAGCTTTTCGTTTATTCAATGGCATGTATAATAATAGTATAATAATGTCTTCTTCAAAGCCAGGAATAAAGTTTTTCAACATATTTAAAGGATCACTACTTCTGCATTCCTTAGGAAGGAAACCTTATTGTTATATAATTTTGTTTTCAATTTATATAATTTAGATAATTTTTTCGTATTCATCTTTTAGAACAGACTTTCTATAATTTTTCTCTATTTTACTATCCATTATCTCTCTGAAGTTTTCCTCATCATAAGAATCCCTTAAATTATGAATTCTACTAAACTGATCTTGGATTCACTTTCAAACTTTCAGACCAACCTTTCGCTATACCTGAGTAGATGGGAAGCATATTAGAGACTTCGTAAAGTATAGAACCTCAAACTTAGGTATAGTACTTGGAATTTTCACTTAATAATTATATATCTCTTTCCACCTTTAATCTTATATTTTGTCTTATTTTGTTATTTTACAACTTCAATAATCAAGCAGTTATAATATTTATGATTATTTCAGATTTTCCTGACTAAAATAAAATTTTAATTAAATAGAAATTAAAAGAAATTGAATAAAATTTACATTTAGAATAAATTTAATCCTAATTAATCAAACCTTGATTGAATTATTCTAATTTAGTCATCCTAATTTTTAAGCTTTTTTTATGTTTATTTACATTCATATTTTATATTTTCATTTAATATGTCATAATCATCTTTTTATTTGTCAATTGTATTTGTATATCTTTGATTAATTATATAGTGTTGTATAAAAATGAGTATGATTATGGAGTAGTTTCATAGAAAGAACAATAATATCAATAATTAACAAAATGGGAATGTAAAATCAAATAAGATAATTCTCAGATTCAATTAAATAATAATTCATAAATTATTTAATCTTCATCCACACTTAAAACTACTCAATCAGATCTCAAACAATTCATCTATTAATTAATTAAATAAAGCTCAATTAAATAAGATAAATGGTGTTTTGCTATTGCTGTTAAGAACAATTGTTCAATATTAATTGCTGGATGTAGTAATTAACTTAAAGTATTTGAATTTATATAAGGAATATATTAAATGAGCATGGGCGTGAAATAAATACTTTAAATTTCATGAAGAGATCAGACCATTTTATATCTGGGAGTACCAATAGCTCAATGATAATATGGGCAAGAAATGAAAATGGTTTATGGATTTACCAATAGAAATTGAATGGACATACAAGTAGTATAGTATGTTTGTTATTAAATAATAATGAAGATATTATTATATCTGTTAGTAATGATTATAAGATTAAATTCTAGTAGAAATAAAATGAATAGTTGTGCTTTTTAATTACAGATCATACAAGTACTGTATTAAGATTAAGTTTCAATGAATAATAAAATAAATATTTTTTGAACAATCAGAATTGAATAAATAATGGATTGTAATATAAAAAATTACAGTAGAACAATTAGGATATAGATTATTCTTTATTGATAATAATACATTCACATTCTATCCTTATGGAAAAGATTACATAGAAGTTTTTGAGATGAATAATAGTAATAAATAGTATACCAAGACAAAAGATATTCCTGTAAAAGGTGGTAGTGATTATTTTTTATTTCCTTAATAATATAAAAAATCAAAATGTATGCTTGTGAATAAGAATGGTTCAAATATTAGTTTAATAAGGAAGAAACAAAATGGAAAGTTTATGATTGAGGAATCTATTGAATTTGGAACTCGTAGTATTTTTGGATATATGACTGATGATGGACAGTATTTGATTACTTGGGATGAAAATTCAAAAGAAATTCAAATCAGAAAATATCAGGAGAAATGAGTTATTAATTTAGGAGTCACTAATGTATAAATTTAGTTTTTATTTTTATACTTGTTCTTTCTCTAAAATATAAAAAAATACATATGTGTTTTTATCTCCAATGATTATGTTATTCATCAATGTTTCAGGGTTCAACTAAAGCTATTTTAATTTTTTAGTGGTAATTCTATAAAAAGTATAATGTTTTAATAATATAAAAAAAATAAAACATCAATAATTTTTAATATTTGATAAATTTGATGAAAAAGGTTTTATAGAAGAAAGATATTTTTGATGATTTATTAAAAAGTAGTAAATGAATAATTAGCACATTAATATAAGATGAAGAATTATTGTCTTAGTTTTGAAACTTCAAAAAATTTATAACTTTGTTAAATTTAGTGAATAAAAGTCATTAGTTTCTTAAAAATTTGAAAGTGTTCAAACTTAAAAGGATTTCAAATAAATGCAAATAATAGGGTTTTATTATGGATTATGTGAGAAAAACAAGATTTTTCCACAAAGTAATTAGTTTCTAATTATATTATTTATTTTTCTATTAAGTTAATCAAACTTTTTAGATCCTAAAAATTCATAATAATTTACATATTAAATTTAGTTACCTATTCATGGCATATCCTAAGCAATATATTTTAAGTTTAAGGAGTTCTTGTCCTTAAGGGACAGTTTATTAATTATTAAGGCTTAGTTTTAAGATAATTATTAAAATCAAAAAGAAGCATTTTTTAAAAGTTTATGCGAAATACGACAGATGATTACTATTAGAATATGAATTTTTCCTTATTGGATAATTTAACAGTAGAATAATCATAATTTCGTTATCAAGAAAATATACACATAAATACTTGTTATCAATAATAAATTTTTGCTTTCGAATTATTTAATAAATAATTTCTTAATAAATTAATATAAATGTAAAATTTAACTGGTGATGAATTAATCAAAAGAGTACAGTTCTTTAATATTATGAAGTAATGAGGTATGTTTTTTTTTTCTAGA